CTTCAGCAATCAGTATCCTGATCAGTCAGCAGCCATCATCACTAAGGAAAAATCCTGCACCAGCAAAGAGATTATGACTCACTGAAGGCTCAGGTAACCACTAGCATTTTTTAGCAATAAAGTATTTTTAAATTAAGGTATGTACACTTTTAATACATAATGCTACTTTGTACTTAATAAAATATAGCATAAATATAACTTTCATATACATTGGGAAACGAAAACATTTGTGTTTTTATTTTGATTTTTGCTTTATTGTGATACTTTATTGTGGTGGCCTGGAATCAAACTTGCAATATATCCAAAGCATGTCTGCATACATGTTGTTTTAGGTGAAATTATATGGAGCATGTTCTTTGAACTCAATACTATTAAACTAGATACCTATAACAAAAATACAACTAGAAAATCCCTGAGTGTTAAAAAATAAAGAAACTCACTTCTAAACCCATGGGTCAAAAGAAATCATATTGGAAATTATGTATTTTTTAAACTGATTAATGATGAAAACACTACACAGTAAAACTGGTGCAATACAGCTAAAGTCATGCTTACAGGGAAATTTATAGCTCTAAATAAATACACTAAAAAAGAGGAGGCCAAGGCAGGCGGATCACGAGGTCAGGAGTTTGACACCATCTTGGCCAACATGGTGAAACCTCACCTCTACTAAAAAGACAAAAGTTAGCTGGGTGCGGTAGTGCACATCTGTAGTCCCAGCTACTCAGGAGGCTGAGGCAGGAGAATCGCTTGAACCCAGGAGGCGGAGGTTGCAGTGACCCAAGATCGCGCCACTGCACTCCAGCCTGGTGACAGAGGGAGACTCTGTTTAAAAAAACAAAACAAAATAAAACAAAAAAATGAGGGGCCAGGTGCAGTGGCTCATGCCTGTAATCCCAGCACTTTGGGAGGCCAAGGTGGGTATATTACCTGAGGTCAGGAGTTCGAGACCAGCCTGACCAATAAGGTAAAACCCCATCTCTACTAAAAATACAAAAATTAGCCAGGCATGGTGGTGCGTGCCTGTAATCCCAGCTACTCAGGAGGCTGAGGCAGCAGAATTGCTTGAACTAGGAGGCGGAGGTTGCAGTGCACCGAGATCCTACCACTGCACTCCAGCCTGGGTGACAGAGTAAAAAACAAAATCAAAAACAATACAAGGGTAACTTTGATGAAGTAATTTTATATCTGTTGAATCTAGTAAAGAAGATTCGGGGCTTGTAATTAAGACATTGCTTTCATTCGTTTTTCTAGTAATTCATCCTTATTTTATTTTATAAATGTATTAGTATGCCAAAGATTGGAATTAAAAAAAAAAAAAAACTGGTTCTTCTAGCCTGGGCAACATAGCAAGACCCCATTTGTAAAAGAAAAAATAAAAAACAGTTAGCTGGCACGATGGCACATGTCTGTAGTATCAGCTACTTTGGAGGCTGAGATAGGAGGACTGCCTGAGTCCAGGAGTTTGAGGCTGCAGTGAGTCACAATCGTGCCACTGCACTCTAGCCTGGGTGACAGTGTGAGACTCTGATCCAAAAACAAAACACCACCACAAAAAAAACTGGGCCTTCACCACAGTTCGAGAAGCATATAGAATATCTCTTAAAAATAATCACTATTGCAAATATATTACTTAATGGTAAAATGGTGAAGCTTTCCTCTGAGAACAAGACTGTCACCACTTTTATTTACTATTGTACTAGAGGTCCTAGTTTATGCAGAAAGGCAAGAAAAAAAAGGCACAAGAACTAAATGGTTGGAGTTGGGGGGAAACTCCTGTGACTTACAGATTGAGTATATAGGAAATACAGAATTTTTCTCAAGTTCCAACTACCTACCTCTTGGTTTGCACCTGTACCTTTACATTAAAATAAAGACCACAGTGAAAATACAGTACTGTCTTTGTCTCACTTAGGTATCAGTTTAGATCCTATAACCACTGGCCTCTTACGTGTGCTTTGGGCAGGCCATTGTGCATTTCAGATTTCAACTTAATCTCTCATCTAATTAATAAACTTTCTAATGGAAAGTCTACTCCTTTCCTTTCTTTGGATTTAGGTAGCTATCAAGGTCCATCTCACAATTCTGAACTGGAACTGCAAGTTCTTTAAGGGCTTATATTTTCATATTTCCCATGGCACCCGGAATACTATAGGCATCTTGTAGGTACTCAATAAATTTCTGTAGAATTAGTTTCAAGCCAGAAACCACTTTCCACTTTAAAGTCATATTCACAGAATGGATGAGCCTTAAGACAGATGGACGGGCAGATAGATAAGATATATATATAGAAAGAAAACATTTTTTAAAAAAAGTTTACTAAGATCTCATCAGAGGGTGGTGATGGGAATAACATAGTTCAGTGTGACTATTCAGGGTCCTAGCTTCCAAGGCGGGTTCTATACTATTTCAGCTCATGGCTCCTTCACTAAGAAATGTCCACCTGTATTTGTAAAGGTTTAAAAATGTCCAGAGTGGTTCAAGAAACTTGTGACACAGAATCTAAGAGATTTTTCACTGGTTTAGAATTTAGCATTTCTTACCTCCCTCCCCTCAAGGGTTCACTCCATAAAGGTATTCAAAAGTGTCCTGAACTTTGCACCATAAACCCTGAGATTTGAGTCCTGATCCTGTCATTGACGTTGGACATATGACCCAAGCTGTATGACCTTGCAAGAATCATATTTTCTGGGTTGCAGGCACTATGCCAATCAAATAATCTAGAATCCTAGGCCTCCCTTCAGGCTCTTGATGTTCAGGATTCTGTTCCACTCCTCTCTTCCAGTCCAGTGACAGTTTCCCAGTTTCGATTCTGTCCCAACTCTAGCTGTGTGACTTTGGAACAACCTTTAACTTTCTCCAGATTTCACTGTTTTCTGTATAATGCGGATATCTGAACTATGTCTGAGTTCTCCTCTGGTTACTCCTCCCACACATACATACACACTTTTTTTTTTGAGACGGCGTCTTGCTCTGTCACCAGGCTGGAGTGCATGCAGCTGAGGGATCTCGGCTCACTGCAACCTCCGCCTCCCGGGTTCAAGCAATTCTCCTGCCTCAGCCTCCCGAGTAGCTGGGACTACAGGTATGTGCCACTATGCCCAGCTAATTTTTTGTATTTTTAGTAGAGACAGGGTTTCACCATGTTGGCCAGGATGGTCTCAATCTCCTGACCTCGTGATCCGACCGCCTAAGCCTCCCAAAGTGCTGGGATTACAGGCGAGAGCCACCGTGCCCAGCCCACATGGACTTTTAAGATAAGAAGTTTGATACTGCTGCATTGACTCATGGTCTGCCTTGAAAGTATTGCTTTACACAGATATGTATACCCACAGAGTTTTACAGAGCAAACTTAAACTGGTTCCTAGCAAAGGAAATGGTATTTTTGTTGTTGTTTCTAAGCTGCCATTTATGATTGAACATTTGGGAAAAGACACAGGTAGCAGAATCAGTCACTGGCATACCTATTGTATCATCCATTTGCCATGCCCTGACCAGAGAACAGCGGCTCTTGATTGTTCATGTCCTGCTCCTTATCAGGATTTAAATTAGCACACTACAGCCGGGTGCGCTGGCTCACATCTATAATCCTAGCACTTTAGGAAGCTGAGGTGGGAGGATCACTTGAGGCCAGGAGTTCAAGACCAGCCTGGGCAACACAGTGAGATCCCATCTCTACAGCAAATTTAAAAATTAGCTGCCTAGGTGCACGCCCGTAGCCCTAGCTACCTGGGAGACTGGGGCGGAAGGATCACTTGAGCCCAGGAGTTCAGGTTGCAGGGAGCTATGACTGCATCACTGCATTCCAGCTTGGGCTACAGAATAAGACCTTGTGGCTAAAAAAATAAATAAAAAATAAACTAGCATACTGCTATAGGAACATAAAATGTATATATTACTTTGTTTTGTTTTGTTTTGTTTTTGAGATGGAGTCTTGCTCTGTCGCACAGGCTAGAGTGCAGTTGCGTAATCTCGACTCATTGCAACCTCTGCCTCCCGGGTTTAAGCGATTCTCCTGCCTCAGCCTCCTGAGTAGCTGGGATTACAGGTATGCACCACCACACCCAGCTAATCTTTTGTATTTTTAGTAGAGACAAGGTTTCACCATGTTGGCCAAGCTGGTCTTGAACTCCTGACCTCCAGCAATTCACCCACCTCAGCCTCCAAAAGTGTTGGGATTACAGGCATAAGCCATTGCACCTGGGCCATATATTAACTCTTATAAGTGGCCTGGAAGGGTAAAAACTTCGCCCATGAAAGAACCCAACTATTGCTACTTAATAGCAGGATCTACCTTAATGATATAAGACAGATGGTACCAAGCACCAAACATCAGTACTTGGTTAGGAAACACATCAAATCCCACTCCATGTCTGATGTCTGACTTCACCCTATCTCTCCTACCTACTGACTACCACCACCAATGGAAGAGAAAGGGGACTGGTTTACCAGGGAACCAGTAGAGGCTCTGCCATATCGGGCACCTGAAGATCCCACCGCATTCCCTACAGTTTTCCCTCTCATTCACCATGCTTTAGCCACACTGGCCCCTTGAAAACACCAAGCCTTCTCCCAGGGCTCTAGTCCATTCCACTCCCTCTTCCCGAAACACTTCTCACCTTGTTACATCATTCTTCACATGACTATACTCCTTTCAGGTCTCAGCTTAAATGTTTCCTCCTCAGAGAAGCTCTTCTTGATCACCCCATAAAGGTGGGTCACCAACACTTTCCAATGTTCTTTGCCATTGACATCTATTTATTTATTAGCCTATATCACTACTTGTAATTGTTTGTTTCCTGACTCACACCCACTAGATTGTAAGCTTGCCTGAGGGCAGGACCATGTCTTCTCCATTTATCAATACATATTCAGTGTCTAGTACAGTAGTTGGCACACAATAAGTGTTCATTACACATATGTTCAATGAATTAGTGAATATTAGGAGAGCTTCCCAGGCTTCAGTTTGGTTTCGGATCTCCAGGACCACAGTAGCTCACCTTGTACATAGGGCCCCATCTCTGGATGCTCCCTGACCCGCAGGGTATAGGGCTTTTTTTGACCAGATTGCTTCAACAGATCCCGCACCCGTTCATTATAGATTTCTAGAAAACTAGAGAGAAGTAGAAGAAGGCAACAACATAATTACATTTTGAAAAAAAGTAGAAACAACACTGAGCTAAAAATCAGGAGGTCTTAGTTCCTGTTCCAGCTCCACCTCTGACATTCTAAGGCACTGATCAAGCGAAGGTTCCCCCTTGAGTCTCTTTCCATACATATACAAAAGTGTTTTTTTTTAATTGTATTTTTATTTTTGAGATAGAGTCTCACTCTATCTCACAGGCTGGAGTGCAATGGAACAATCTCGGCTCACTGCAACCTCCGCCTCCCAGATTCACCACACCCAGCTACAGAGGTTGTTTCTTGAGTGAGTTTCAAACATGACCCTTGAGCTTTGAGCTCTATTGTTCTGTGAAGGCATCTCAAGGGCTACTTGACAGCCAGGGTCAGCTGGGCCACAGAAGGAAAGACCTGCTTGTTAAGTCTATGGGTAGGAAATTAAGTTTTCTACAACCAAGGGCCTAAGTATGTTTCTCAGCTCTTGTACTGCAAGATATTTCTTCTGTGGCTTTTCTCCATCCCTGTGGTGACTCTGGAAGCAAAGAGAGGACAGCTGAACATGGCAGAATTTGGAGGGGAAGGAGAACTACTGCAGATCCCAGAGCTTGGTAGGTTCTTACCTTACTTTTATCCTACAGGAGGAAGGCAGTGAGGCACAGTCTTTCTCCCTGATGAAGAGACCCTGCACAAACCAGAGGGTTGGGGTTTCATTGTAGGAACTGTACGGAGACCTACTTTGAGAGGATCCAGCCAAAAGATAGTGTATACCTCACATATCCGTGGTGTCAGCCCAACAGAGGCCTGGAGAACAGAAGAAAAGAAAGCATTATTGTTTACTCAAGATGATGCTCTCCCCCACCGAATACCCAGGAACCATCCTCAGCGTGGGGGATGGGTGCCTGGACTCCTTGTGCTAGCCTCTTCACTTCAGGCAGTTTCACTGGAGAATATAGACGACTTTTATGTGCCAGTGCTCTGAGAGACACTCATGGAAGAAATGTAGCAGATGAGAGGCATATGTACCACCATAAGAAGGAAAAGGGGAGGCCGGGCGTGGTGGCTCACGTCTGTAATCCCAGCACTTTGAGAGGCCGAGGCAGGCGGATCACGAGGTCAGGAGATTGAGACCATCCTGGCTAACACGTGAAACCCCGTCTCTACTAAAAATATATAAAAAATTAGCCGGGCGCGGTGGCGGGCACCTGTAGTCCCAGCTACTCGGAAGGCTGAGGCAGGAGAACGGCATGAACCCAGGAGGTGGAGCTACCAGTGAGCTGAGATGATGCTACTGCACTCCAGCCTGCGCGACAGAGTGAGACTCTGATTTAAAAAAAAAAAAAAGAAGAAGAAGAAGGAAGAGAAGCCAGCACACCCAGATACCTGCTTTTATGCAATGAAGGTTACATTATTCTTGGATAAAAACACTTTACCAATGTTCCTCCTAGACTCCCTACACCTGGGGATTGGAGTATATGAGTATTCAAAATACACATTTAGACCAGGTGTGGTGGCTCACCCCTGTAATCCCAGCACTTTGGGGGCCGAGGTGGGTGGATCACTTGAGCTCAGGAGTTAGAGACAAGCCTGGGCAACCTGCGGAGACCCTGTCTCTGGCTAATACAAAAAAAATTAGCCTGGCATGGTGGCGTGTGCCTATGGTCTCAGCTACTCAGGAGACTAAGGTGGGAGGATCACTTGAACCCAGGATGCAGAGGCTGCAGTGAGCTGAGATTGCACCACTGCACTCCAACCTGGGTAAGAGTGAGACCCCATCTCAAAAACAAAACAACAACAACAACAACAACAAAAAAACACGTTTAGAAAGAGGTAGTTTCTTTTCTCATCTTGTATCCAGTGCTAACTTGTACCCGGTTAAGGGCTTTATACTTTTGGTTTAGCGGCCAATTTCTTCTTTTTTTAAAATTATTATTTTTTTGAAATAGAGTTTCACTCTTGTTGCCCAGGCTGGAGTGCAATGGCACAATCTCGGCTCACTTCAACCTCCATCTCCCAAGTTCAAGCAATTCTTCTGCCTCAGCTTCCCGAGTAGCTGGGAGTACAGGCGCCTGCCATCACACCTGGCTAATTTTTGTATTTTTAGTAGAGACGGGGTTTCACCATGTTGGTCAGGCTGGTCTCGAACTCCTGAGCTCAGCTGATCCACCTGCCTCAACCTCCCAAAGTACTGGGATTACAGGTGTGAGCCAACGTACCCAGCCCCAATTCTTTTAACGTCAAATACTGTGAAATCACACTAAACACAGGACAAAGTGAGCAATGAGCTAGGCCCCAGGCATCAGGGATAATCATCTAAGAGGAATCATGTTCTACAGAATGTTCCTGTGTAGTGTTTATTTTGTTACCCACCTAACAGGATATATATACTTTTAGAGACAGGGTCTCTTTTTATTTTTTTATTTATTTTTTTGAGACGAAGTCTCACCCCATTGCCCAGGCTGGAGTGCAATGGTATAATCTCAGCTTACTGCAACCTCAGCCTCCCAGGTTCAAGTGATTCTCATGCCTCAGCCTCCCAGATAGCTGGGATTATAGGTGCGTGCAAGTGATTCTCATGCCTCAGCCTCCCAGATAGCTGGGATTATAGGTGCATGCCACCACATCTAGCTAATTTTTGTATTTTTAGTAGAAACTTGGTTTCACCATATTGGCCAGGCTGGCCTTGAACTCCTGACCTCATGATCCACCCGCCTCGGCCTCCCAAAGTGCTGGGATTACAGGAATGAGCCACCGCACCCAGCAGAGACAAGGTCTCTCATCTGTTGTCCAGGCTGGAGTACAGCGGCAAGATCATGGCTGATCACTGCAACCTCAACCTCCCAGGCTGAAGCCATCCTCCTACCTCAGCCTCCTAAGTAGCTGGGACCACAGGCATGTGGCCCTACACCCGGCTAATTTTTGTATTTTTTATAGAGATGGGGTCTCCCTATGTTGCCCAGACTGTTCTCAAATTCCTGGGCTTAAGAGATCTTTCTGCCTCAGCTACCCCAAAGTGTTGAGATTATAGGTGTGAACCACTGTGCCTGGCACCCCGACCAGGATACTTCTAAATCCAAAACAAAAAGGTATTAAGGAACTCTGCCCTCCTGATTTTCTGTGATAAAGGAAGGCTCTCATTAAATCCTATATACTTTTGAAAGCCCCCGGCTCAGGAACTAGTTCTCCTGCTTTCTTCTAATACACAGATCTAATACATGTAGGCTTGGAGCTTGGCCACAATAATCAAATCTCTGCACAGCTCTAGCCTGCACTTAAGATTTAGTCCAGGTCTTGTCCACAGCAAAGGTGCAAAACAGCTTCAAATAACGAACCTGGAGATAACAAGAAATTCAGTAGGACTGACGAGAACCGCTTTGTTGAAGGGAGCTGTAAAATTCTAAGGCTCTTCAGGGTTTAATAAAAAGGGGTTAATTATTCAAAGTTTACCTTCCAATTAAATGCTGAAAAACTCTTTTTTTTTTTTTTGAGACGGAGTTTCGCTCTTGTTGCCCAGGCTGGAGTGCAATGGCACGATCTCAGCTCACCACAACCTCTGCCTCCTGGGTTCAAATGATTTGTGATTCTCCTGCCTCAGCCTCCCGAGTAGCTGGGACTACAGGCATGCGCCACCACGCCAAGCTAATTTTTTTGTATTTTTAATAGAGACGGGGTTTCTCCATGTTGGTCAGGCTGGTCTCGAACTCCCAACCTCAGGTGATTCGCCCGCCTTGGCCTCCCAAAGTGCTGGGATTACAGGCATGAGCCAACACGCCCAGCCGAAAAACTCATTCTTAAAACAGAAGATGGCTCATTCAATCTTCTTTAAAGTTGACTGACTACAGAAATCATATTCTATCTCACAGTAGTAAGGACAATGCAAGGTTCAGGCTTGCTATGGCATTAGGACTATATCTCATTGTAATACTCACTGGGGTCCCCAGCATGGTATATGTCTTCCCAGAGCCTGTCTGTCCATAAGCAAAAAGGCATATGTTATAGCCTTTGGCAACTCCAGACAGTACTTCCATCCCTAAATCCTGGAAAACCTGTAACAACAAAAGCAGAGGAAATATCACTGTGGTCCTTCTTCTCATAGCAGATTTAGAATTATTTTCTAATCTAAAAAAATATATAAAATATTTCAAACATCCATGACTATTAATTCACTACCATTTCATAGGAATCAATTTAGCTTCATAAAAAGATAGCTAAGGAAAATTCATTCATTCAGCCCGTCAAATTCTTTAAGTGCCTACTGTATCTAGACACAATACTAGACTCTGAAGATACAAAAGTAATATGGTCTCTAAACTTAAGGCAAAGAGAGTGTAGAAGAGCAAAGATATGCAAGCAAAATAATTCTGTATCTCTCATAAGAAAATGTTTAATATGGTTAATCAGGTAAAGCTGCAGTGAAATACTGCCCAATAACAAAGAAATTCAGGGTCTTAGGATACCACACTGAAGATCAGTAAGACCAGAAGTTAGGGAGGTGTTTTCCATGTGCATTTATTTTCTATACACTCCCTCCTCAGATTGACCCTAAGAGCTGGCTGGTTCTGCTGGTCATTTACCCCTGCTTCAGTGAATCAGAAACAGGCAGAGGTCCTCATGTGAAAACTCCTATACCTGGAATACTGCTTGGAAGTCCTACTGAGCTCTGTTTGGCAGACTCTGGTCTCAGGAAAAAATAGCCAGCTTTATGGGGAAGGCACAGCTTCCTAGTTCAGCCAGTCTTCAGCAGAGTGGTATGTGAGCATCTGCATACCCATGGCTGTTACGGTGGACATTTACCCTTTGTATTGTTGCCCAACATCAAAATACTCTTCCTTTGAACCTTTGGTTGTGTCAGTCTCGGTGGGAAGCACAACTCAATGTTCTACTATAGAAGCCAAACAGGCCAGATATTCCTCTCCACCTAGGACAATGCTAGCACATGAAATGAAGCCAGATAGGGCTGGATGCAGTGGCTCACGCCTGTAATCCCAGCACTTTGGGAGGATGAGGTGGGTGGATCACCTGAGGTCAGGAGTTCGAGACTAGCCTGGCCAACATGGCGAAACCCTGTCTCTACTAAAAATACAAAAAATTACCCGGGCATGGTGGCAGGCACCTATAATCCCAGCTACTTGGGAAGTGGAGGTAGGAGAATCACTTGAACCCAGGAAGTGGAAGTGCAACGAGCTGAGATCGTGCCATTGCACTCCAGCCTGGGAGAGAGAGTGAGACTCCATCTCAAAAAAAAAAAAAAGAAAGAAAGAAAGAAATGGGGCCAGACAACTACATGTCACTTGACAAGTAGAATATCATTTGAATTTTGAAAGAAAGACATAAAAATAAAGAATAGTTAATAAATTGTCCATACTGGCATCAAGGATCCAATAGCACTGCCTGCTGGGCATGCAGTGGTAGAAGTGCCAAGTGTGGTGCTCAAATCAGACAATTCTGTGATGTGGTTCCGCCTGGGGTCCCTGCTGCTTACTATCCCATGTCTTCCTGCCCATTTTTCAACTTTCCCCTCAATTCTGTGACTCCACTGATATGATTCTAAGGTGTAGTGTGTTCTTACACTTCAAAGCTGTGTGATCTTGGGCAAGTTACTTAAACTCTGTAAACTTCCGTTTCTTTAGGTATAAAATGTTTATTTTTGTATCTGTAATACAGGTTTGTCATGAAGATTAAAGTAATACACTTAATTAGGGACAAAGATAGGAGCTGCTAACTCAAGACTACACTCCTTGCCTTTTTTTTTTGTTTTGTTTTTGTTTGAGACAGGGTCTTGCTCTGTCCCCCAGGCTGGAGTGCAGTGGCACAATCTTGACTTACCACAGCCTCAACCTCTTGGGCTCAAACGATCTCCCTACCTTGGTCTTCCGAGCAGCTGGAACTGCAGGTGTGCACCACCACACCCAGCTAATTTTTTTTGTATTTTTGTAGAGACAGGTCTCCCCATGTTGCCCAGGCTGGTCTTGAACTCCTGGGCTCAAGTGATCCACGTGCTTCAGCCTCCCAAAGTGCTGGGATTACAGGTGTGAGCCACTGTGCCTGGCTCTTTATTTATTTATTTATTTTTTCTTAAGAGACATGGTCTTATCCTGTCAGCCAGGCTGAAGTGCAGTGGCACAATCATAGCTTACTGCAGCTTCGAACACCTGGGCTCAAGGGATCATCTCGCCTCAGTCTCTTGAGGAGCTAGGATTAAGGGCATTTTTATTATTTTTCTCTTTGTTAGTTTGTTTATTTGTTTTAATAATCAGTGTTAAGTTGTCATCAGTTTAAACAAATGGGTTATTTGCAAGCCTCATGGTAATCTCAAATCAAAAAACCTACAAAAGACACACAAAAAATAAAAAGAAATTAAAACATGCCACCAAAGAAAACCACCTTCACAAAACAGGAAGACAGGAAGAAAAGAAGGAGGGAAGAAAAGACCACAAAACAACCAGAAAAGAAATAACAAAATGGCAGAAGTCCTTACTCATCAATAATAACGCTGAATGTAAAGGCACTAAACTCTCCAACCAAAAGACAGAGCTAAATGGATTTAAAAAACAAGACCCAACAATCTATTGCCTACAGGAAACACACTTCACCAGTGAATACACATATACACTGAAAACAAAGGGAGAGAAAAAGATACTCCGTGCAAATGGAAACCAAACAAGAGCAGAATTAGCTACATGTATATTAGACAAAATAGATTTCAAGACAAAAACTTAAAAGAGACAAAGGTCATTATATAATCAGAAAGGGGTCAATTTAGCAAAAGGATGTAACAATTATAAATATATATGCACCCAACACTGGATCACCCAGATATATAAAGCAAATATTATTAAAGCTAAAGAGAGAAAGAGAGGTCTCAACACAGTAATAGCTGGAGACTTCAACACCCCACTTTCAGCATTGGATAGATCATTCAGACAGAAAATCAACAAAGAAATGTTGGACTTAATCTGCACTGTAAACCAAATGGACCTAATAGATATTTACAGAACATTTCATCCAATGGCTGCAGAATACACATTCTTCTCCTCAGCACATGGATCACTCTCAAGAATAGACCATATGTCAAGCTACAACACATGTTTTAAAGAATTTTTTTAAAAAATCTTCCTGAAAGGTGGGTTAAGGAAAAAAATAAATAATAAAACAATTCAAAAAAGCTGAAATCATATCAAGTATCTTCTATGACCACAATGGAATAAAATTAGAAAGAATAACAAGAGGAATTTTGGAAACTATACACACACATGGAAATTAAACAATGTGCTCCTGAATGACCAGTAGGTCACTGAACAAAATAAGAAGAAAATTTTCAAATTTCTTTTTTTTCTGGAGACAGAATCTCACTCTGCCACCCAGGCTAGAGTACAATGGTGTGATCTCAGCTCACTGCAACCTCCGCCTCCCGGGTTCAAGCAATTCTCATGCCCCGGTATCCCAAGTAGCTGAGACTACCGGTGCGCACCACCATGCCTGGCTAACTTTTGGTATTTTAGTAGAGACAGGGTTTCACCATGTTTCACAGGCTGGTCTTTAACTCCTGAGCTCAGGTAGTCTGCCCACTTTGGCATCACAACGTACTCGGATTACAGTCTTAAGCCACCATGCCTGGCCTAAATTTCTTGAAACAAATAGATATAGAAACACAACATACCAAAACAAATGGGATACAGCGAAAGTACTACAAAGACAAAAGTTTACAGCAATAAGCATCTATATCAAAAAAGTAGAAAAACTTCAAATAACCTAACAATGCATCTTAAAAACTAGAAAAGTGGCCAGGCATGGTGGTCCATGTCTGTAATCCCAGCACTTTGGAAGGCAAAGGCAAGAAGATCACTTGAGCCCAGGAGTTCAAGACTAGCCTGGACTCAAGCTCTATAAACTCTTGCAATATAGCAAGAATTCATTTCTATTTCTTTAATAAGAAAAAGAACTAGAAAAGCAAGAGCGAATCAAACACAAAATTAGCAGAAGAAAAAAATTAGAGAGAAATAAATGAAATTGAAATGAAAAAAGCAATACAAAAGATCAATAAATTGAAAAGCTGGTATTTTGAAAAGATAAAATTGATAAGCCTTTAGACAGACTAAGAAAAAAAGACCCACATAAATAAAATCAGAGATGAAAAAGGAAGCATTACAACTGACACTGCAGAAATCCAAAGGCCCATTAGAGACTACTATGACTACACACCAATAAACTGGAAAACCTAGAAAAAAATGGATAAATTCCTAGACACAATCTACCAAAATTGAACCATGAAGAAATCCAAAACCTGAATAGAACAATAGCAAGTAATGAAGCTGTAATAAAAATCTCCCAGCAAAGAAAAGCCCAGAACCCGATGGCTTCACTGCTGAATTTTACCAAACATTTAAAGAACTAATACCAAGCCTACTAAAACTACTCCAAAAAAATGAAAAAGGGAATACTTACAAACTCATCTTTTAAGGCCAGTATTACCCTGATACCAAAACCACACAAAGATACATCAAAAAAAGAAAACTACAGGCCAATATCCCTGATGAACATTGATGCAAAAATCTTCAACAAAATACCAGCAAACCAAATTCAACAACATGTTAAAAAGATCATTCAGGCCGGGCATGGTGGCTCATACCTGTAATCTCAGCACTTTGGGAGGCCTGAGGTGATGGATATCTCATCTACCCTGATGTGATTACTATGTATTATATGCCTGTATCAAAATAGCTCATGTACCTCATAAATATATATATACCTACTATATACCCATAATTTTTTTTTTCTTTTTCTGAGACAAGGTTTCACTCTGTTGCCCAGGCTAGAGTGCAGTGGCACAATCACAGCTTACTGCAGCCTCAACTTCCCAGGCTCAAGCAATCCTCCCACCTTAGCCTCCCAAGTAGCTGGGACTACAGGCATGTACCCCCATGCCCAGCTAATTTTTGTATTTTTTATAGAGATGGGGTTTCGCCATGTTGCCCAGGCTGGTCTCAAACTCCTGAACGCAAAGTGATCTGCCCACCTCGGCCTCCCAGAAAACAACTGGCCAAGC